TTTTATTGTAACTAAATGCGAATTTTTTTTTTCCTCTGATTTTCATCTTCCCTTAATAATTTCAGTCATTTTTTTTTGAGGAACGAGATGCGTTAAACAGTCCTTTGATGTTCATCTTCCTTTAATAATTTCAGTCATTTTTTTAAGGAACGAGATGCGTTAAACAGTCCTTTGATGTTCATCTTCCTTTAATAATTTCAGTCATTTCTTTTGAGGAATGAGATGCTTTAAACAGTCCTTTGATGTTCATCTTCCTTTAATAATTTCAGTAATTTCTTTTGAGGAACGAGACGCTTTAAATCGTCTATACTTTTGTTAGTTTTATAAAAATATACATTTGTTGCAGTCAAATAACAAATTACTAATGAATAACGTCCTTATGTGCAAGTCTTAAGAATTGGGTTCCTAAAAAATGTACATTTTCCATGGTTGATTCATAGTTTCTCTAGATTAAAGAAAGTACTATGAATATTTTTTCTTTAGCCCCCTTTAAAATTTTTCAGAACACCATCTTTTATTTTTAAATTGCAAACATATATTTCAAAGAACTTTGATGTTTGTGTCTTCTATTTAAAAACACTTAAAGAGCAACATGTTAAAAATATATCTAAAACAATTCAATATTTAAATAACTTGAATTTCTGTTATTTGTCGCTATAGCAAATTTATGTAACACGATATAAACTGTCAGATTTGTCTGTTTGTTTTAGAGAAAAACCGAGGCCACCATGGGGTTTCGAGCCCCGGAATTTATCGTTGAAAGTCCATAAAATTTACCATTGTTCCACTAGAGGACTTGTTTAGTTTTAGTAATAGTTTAGTTTTATGCTAATTATAAGTTCTTTTTTTTTTAAACCTCAAATATTTGCAATCTTCGTCAAGATTTGTGAAAAATAATTCATATTAGTATTTATTTCAGTCGCATATTTTTTATTTATTTTACAAATTTAGTGAAAACAGTATTGAACAAAACGATAGTCAATGTTGTTGAAGTGAGCTGATTTGTATAAATTTTAAGGTCGAGAACTAAATGATGTTTTATTTTGTAGAATTTTTAAATGCTCATCTTGTTGAATCAAACTATTAAAACTAAATTCTGTTAATCCCAAACCATTTAGTTCCGGTTTTATAATTTGCCAACATTTTCTTTTGCTTCTTTTTTGTTTCTAAAGGATGTATTTTAATTAGATAACTAGCACGAAGAGAATCTTGAAATATCTACAAAAAAAGTCTACACAACCTTTGAGTAATTTAATAAACCTTAACAATAACTCGAGTTGATTCAGTTTTCAAGGTCCACGAAACAGTCCATCTACATTCAGAATGTTCAAGAAGAGACAGGAGGCAAGTTTCGTTGTGAAGTCTCAGCAGATGCTCCGTTTTTCAAGACTGCAGCAGCAGAACAATGGATGGCAGTACAAGGTATGGAAAAAAAACTGTATGTATTTTCTACCTAATCGTTCTGGCTCTTTCCGGACCAGGCATTGCCGGGTAGTTAGGGCGCTCGACTCGCAATCTGAGGGTCGCGGGTTCAAATCCTCGTCACACCAAACATGCTTGCCCTTTCAGCTGTGGGGGCGTTATTATGTGACGGTCAATCCCACTATTCGTTGGTAAAAGAGTAGTCCCAAGAGATGGCGGTGGGTGGTGATGACTAGCTGCCTTCCCTCTAGTCTTACACTGCTATATTAGGGACGGTTAACGCAGATAGCCCTCGTGTAGCTTTGCGCGAAATTCAAAACAAATCAAACCTGACTCTTTCCTGGTTTACTTCGTTCTTGGCAAGGATTTAAATTTAATCACCTATCAGACCTTCATCTTATCAATTTTTATTTTTACTAAGACGTCCATTATTTAATTTTATATATTAACTACACCAGAATGATATTTATATTTAGAGAATGATAATGTTAAACACTTACCACGCTAGAAAATATTCAAAAGAGAAAGAATATCACAAAATCAAATTAAAAATTAAAAAAGGATATAAGAGTGAACATTTAAAACATGTTGTAAATAAATATGAGACTTAATTAGCATTGGGCCGGTTTGGTCAAGTGGTCAAGGTATCTTATTATGAATCTGTGGGCCTCAGGTTCGAATTTTGTTAAAATTGGCGGTGGGTGATGTTAAATAGTTTCCTTCCTCTAGTCTATCAATTCGAAATTATGAATGACTAGCACAGAGATAAATAATTTTGTGCATCTTTGTGCAAATATATATATTTTTGCATGTTCATTGGTTTTTCGCCAAAAACAACACTATCAGCGCTAGCCGTCCCTAATTTTGAAGCGATAGAATATAAGAAATGCAACTAGTTAACACAACCCATTCCCAACTCTTAGGCTACTCTTTTCAGATCAACTAATAGGATTTAACCTGTCACTCTTATAACCCATCCACAGACTCAAAGAGCAGAGTGTGATTTTTTGCGAAGAACGAAGGTAAGCCAGATAAAGGGACGCGAACCACGGGATTTCAGCTTCATTGTCCAGTACGCTAACCACTAGTGCACGCGAATATCTGAAGTTAACAAGTAATTAGTCTTAATTAATTTCATATGACTACGTAAATTATTATTAAAATGAAATATAACATAACATAATATTTTGGGACAACATGGGGACCTGTTGATCCATCTCGACTGTTTCATCCTCAAAACTAAGTTATAATGATTAAAAAATAATAATGATAAAATTGTAAACCCAACCCTTTTCATTCATATACTTATCAAGCTTTTTGTTAAACTCACTTAAATTTACTGCCTCTACAACATCTGAAGGCAACCCATTCCAAAGGCCAACCACCCTGTTAGAAAAATAAAACTATCTTAGCTGAAGATGACTCCTACCTTGCCAAAATTTATATTTATGTTCCCTAGTCCTACTATTCTCATTGTTAAATATAAAAAAGACGATACATCAACACTATCAATTCCCTTTACAATCTTAAACACCTCAATCAGATCCCACCCTAACTAGAAAGAGAAAACTATTTGAGAAATTTCAGCCTCTTGTCATATGACAACCTCTCCATCCCAGGCATCATTCTAGTAACCCTTCTCTGAACTATTTCCAACAATTCAATGTCTTTCCTAAGATAAGGAGCCCAAGACTGAACACAATATTCCAAATGTGGCTTAACCAGTTACCTGTACAATGAAAGTATAATCTCTTTAGACTTGTTTTCAATATTTCTATGGATACAACCTAAAATCCTATTTGCCTTACCACTAGCAACAGCACACTGTCTGGATGGCTTTAGAGACTGATCGACTATTACACCAAGATCTCTTTCTTTCATGACACTACTAAGGTTATTCCCATCCAAATTATATTTATAATTCAAATTATGATAACCCACTTGCATTATCTTGCATTTATTATAATTAATACCCATCTGCCATTTATTTGACCAACTCACTAAATGATCTAAATCCTTTTGTAAATCAGCAGCATTAAGACAGCCACTTGATGGCTCAGCGGTAAGTTTGAGCGCTAATAACGCCAAAAATTTGGTTTCAACACTCGCGATTGGCAGAGCATTGTGTTTTTTTTGTGTTGAAAAACCAAAAATAAACATTAAGTCAACTTGCAAAATAGTTGATGAATTGCTAGAAAATAAAGAACAAACACAGAACTGATTACATAATTTGGAAGAATATGGAACTAGTATCACAGCAAAGAATACTCTATATCATTTTAATAATATCTTCAAAAACTTAACTACTGAGTTAAAATGTCCTAACCCAACATTATGTAGCATATATATCGAATGTAAAGTCCTCTTTTTTGAACACCAATAATATGTGAAAAAATAATCAAAATTCTCGATTCAATGGATGAAAATAAAGCTCCAGGTACTGATAGCATGACACTAAAATACTTGAAATATCCCGATATTACTTTTCCTGTAATTTCAAAATTGACTTAATATGATATTTTGCTCTGACACTATTTATCCCGATCTTAATATTTCTATAATAAGACTTTTATACATATATAAATGATCAATTTAAAAAACAATTTTATTTATAATTTATATAAATCATATAGACTTCAAAATCTCAGTCTGATGATACTATTTTATTAAAATATGATTATAATATTAAGGATGTTACTGACTGTATTCAAACTGACCTTAATAAAACTGCAAGATGGCTGTACAACAACGACATTTCTTTAACAAGTAACGCATCTAAATGATGACTGAATAAGAACAATATTTGTTTAAGTACTAATACATCTAAATTATAGCTGTATAATAACGATACTTGTTTACCTAACAATGCATATAAATGATGACTGAATAAAAACAATATTTCTTTAACGAGTAATGCATCTAAATGATGACTGAGTGAAAACAATATTTGTTTAAGTACTACTGCATCTAAATTATAACTGTATAATAACGATACTTGTTTACCTAGCAAGGCATCTAAATGATGACTGAATAAAAATTAGATATATCAATGTTTAACAAATATCGTTATTATACAGACGGCAATTAAATGTATCAATGTTTAACAAATATCGTTATTATACAGACGTCAATTAGATGTATCAATGTTTAACAAATATCGTTATTATACAGACGTCAATTAAATGTATCAATGTTTAACAAATATCATTATCATACAGACGCTATTATCGTTATTATTTAGATGTATCGATATTTAAGTACGTATTACTATGTAAACAAGTATCGTTATTATACAGCTATAATTTAGATGTATTAATACTTAAACAAATATTGTTTTTATTCAGTCGTCATTTAGATGCCTTGCTAGGTAAACAAGTATCGTTATTATACAGCTATAATTTAGATGTATTAATACTTAAACAAATATTGTTTTTATTCAGTCGTCATTTAGATGCCTTGCTAGGTAAACAAGTATCGTTATTATACAGCTATAATTTAGATGTATTAGTACTTAAACAAATATTGTTTTTATTCAGTCATCATTTAGATGCATTACTCGTTAAAGAAATATTGTTGACGTCTGTATAATAACGATATTTGTTAAACATTGATACATTTAATTGCCGTCTGTATAATAACGATATTTGTTAAACATTGATACATTTAATTGCCGTCTGTATAATAACGATATTTGTTAAACATTGATATATCTAATTGACGTCTTTATAATAACAATGTTTATTTAAATATCGATGCATTTAAATGAAGTATCTTTCAGGCTTCAGTTAATTTTACTCAACTTCCTTTATTGGATGCCCATAATATGAAATTCTTGTTGAAATATTCTAATCTTACCTCTTGCACTTGCTCAGTTATTGGGAATATCCACGAGTGTATCAGGTAATGGTTATTCAACTAATGTTTAAATGAATCTCTCATATTAATTATATATATATATATACACACCATTGAATGAATTCATTATACAATAGGGACTGTCAATATTTGTCTTTACTTATTTGTAAAAATATGAAATTATAGAAAGAAGCATAATTAAAATTCTATATAATGTAAAGTCTACTAATAATTATATAGATTAGACTGACAGATTTAAATTTTTGATTACGTTGAGTGTTTCTGAACTGTATCAGTACATTACTGTGATTCAAAAAAAATATTTTTCTGATAAGTTTGTTTAATCATAATATATGATCTAGATATTAAGTTTGTGAGATGTGTTTAAGAGAGTGCCAGGTTCCTGTCATTTTAAAAATCATTTATTGAAATTAATTAAATTTCAGTAACTTAACCGTTAATAAAAACAAATTAAACAAAGGTTTTTTAACCAATCATATTCTTGTTTTCTATATCGTTTTACATCTTATCTATACTTTAACCTTATATTTAGTTATTATTCACGTTTTATTTCTGTAATTATATATATTCTAAATTCGGAGCATAATTATGCGTTACCTTATACGTTTATTAATGTGTGTAATTGTTTCTATTTTTCTCCAGGTAAGCTGTAGGTTTCCCGGGATGTATTTATTGTGTAATGACTGTATTTACTGCGTTACGACTGCATTTACTGTGTAGTGACTGTGTTATTGTGTCATGACTGTCTTTACGGTGTATTGACTGTATTTACTGCGTTACGACTGCATTTACTGTGTAGTGACTGTGTTATTGTGTCATGACTGTCTTTACGGTGTATTGACTGTAGTTATTGTGTAATGACTGTCTTTACGGTGTATTGACTGTAGTTATTGTGTAATGACTGTATTTACTGTGTATTGACTGTAGTTATTGTGTAATGACTGTATTTACTGTGTCATGACTGTATTTACTGTGTAATGACTATATTTACTGTGTCACGACTGTATTTACATTGTAATGACTGTATTTACTGTGTAATGACTGTATTTACTGTGTAATGACTGTATTTACTGTGTAATGACTGTAGTTATTGTGTATTAACTGTATTAGTGATTAATGGTTATATTTACTGTCCCACGGCTGTATCTACTGTGTAATGACTGTATTGGTTATGTAGTGATTGTACTTAAAGTGTAATGACTGTATGTGTTGTGTAATAACTAAAATAATTGCAAAAAAAAAAGAAACATTAGATGAAAAATATATTAAATTGTTCTCATAATCACAAAGTCTATAAAAATGCAAAGGTTCGGTCATTTGAACGCCCACACCATGTGAAAACAAGTCACTTGTGTCAAACCTCTTTAGAATTGAAGCAGTAATCTAAACCTTTAAAAACGTTTGCTTTTTTTGTTTCTGTTTTATTAAGCACAAAGCTACATAATGGGCTATCTATGCTGTGCCCACTGTGAGTATCGAAACCCGAATTTTAAAGTTCTAGGCCCACTGACTTACCTCTGAGTCACCGGAGGGCCCTTTCAAAACGAAGTAAATAAGTATTATGGAGACAGACGATCTAGATGACTTTATAGAATAGGTTTAGATTATCTAGTAATATGTTTTTTGATTTTCCTGAGATTTGAGCTCTAAGGGGAACGTGTACCTAGCAAATTTACAAACACATCTTTGATCTCTTCCAATCAGGCTTCATTAGGTTTGCGCTATACGAATTTGCTCTTCTCAAAATATCGAGAGATAATTTCAGACTACGCTAAAGAAATACATTAAACTTGCGGCTGTTTGCATTTATAATAGAATGTTGGCAGATGTGATTAGATTATAGGGTGATTAAGAATCCTTTGGTTTATGTCAGGGATCATCTAAAAAGTTATCATAACGTAAGTCTTTGCTATTATTTTTAAATCGATAAGCCATGAATTTGGGGTTGAATCGCGTCCGTGATGGGTACTTCTCTAACTCCTAAAAGGAACTTAATTGTTAATTCTAAGCAGCGCCTAGAAATCTTTATCCGAAATCATTTGATTACCTTCTCCTGGTGCCTAATACTTGGTCCACGTGACCAACACGTTAACTGCTAAGTAAGACTTATCGCTGACGTACAGTAGTTTTCCATTACGTCCGATAAGCACGTCTTCATTTCAAAACCTGATGAAACGAGCAAGAACGGGACACGAACAATGTGCGTAAGAATAAACCTATACGTGTCATTTTCAAAGAAGAATATTTATGCCTCTGATATATAGTATATATATGTATTTTTACATAGATAGCAATATGGAATTAGCAGCAGAAAGAAACAATAGTGTACTTATGTTCTAAGAGAAAGTCAATTCTGATTTACGGAGAACTGAAAAAAAAAACAATAGTTAAAAAGCTACCCAAACTATTTTGATTAATTATGAGGAGACAAAGGTTGTTAGTTCACGGTTTTCTGTAACATGAAAACGCACTCTCGCTTAGTGCATATAATGATTTATCTAATCAAATGAGTTCTGTTCTAATTACAAGCTGCGTGAATAATGCAAATTTATTTTCTCGCATATCAGGTCAGGCGTCCCCAAGTTGTTAACGTGCTCGGGCTGTGAAACCCAAGATCCATTGCCGCAAAAATCGTGCCTCGAACTTTGGGGCCATCAGTAGAGTAGCCCAGGAGTTGGCGGCGGGTGTTGTTGACCAGCTGCATTTGATTTAGTCTAGAAGCTTAAAATTAAGGATGAGTATGCGCGGCTAGCCCATGCGTAGCTTTGCACGAGACTTAAGAAACAAATAAACAAAATTTGTCTTTTCTATCATCAAGCGAGTAAACACCCTTTCTCAGAATGCTTTAAATTCAAAACTTTATTGGAATTAAAATGTTAATAAAATAAAGAATGAAAGGCCTTAGGGACAACAAATATACAGTATTTTGTTAGACTCCTTTCAATCTATTTTACTAAACTTTCGTCATTCTTTTATAATTGAGTATTATCTAACTTTACAATTTATATTACCAGATGACTGTCCTATTGGCTCTAACTAAGACTATTTTAGTGATTATTTTATTTGGTTATTGCCAGACTGCTTTACTTGGTTCTCTGTGTTCTTTATAACTCTCCTCAAGCGTTTTGGGATGGATTTCACGTATTTTTGTGTGTTATATCAACCCAAGACATTTAAACTGTAATCATTATTTTTAAATGGACCTTTAACTGGAAGCAACTCTCCCTCATTCAACACCAATGTGACATTTTTTCAAGAATGAACAATTATTTACAAATAAAATGAAGTATGTACTGCCTCAGCCACTTAAACGCAAAGTGATTTCATTACTTCATGCCGCTATTGCCAAGACTAGGACATATCGTAACATTTTTGAGAGATAAGGTAAGGATCCGCTGGCGATGGTCACTAAGTATTCAAACACGGCATGGCCAGGTGGTTAGGGCGCTCGACTCGCAAGCTAAGGGTCGCGGGTTCGTGGGGGCGTTATATTGTGACGGTCAATCCCACTATTTGTTGGTAAAAGAGTAGCCCAAGAGTTGGCGGTGGGTGGTGATGACTAGCTACCTTCCCTCTAGTCTTACACTGCTAAATTAGGGATGGCTAACGCAGATAGCTTTGCGCGAAATTAAAAAAAACAAACAAACACTAAGTATTAATGTTGAAAAAAGCTCAGTCCAGCGTTACGCATATATATTTTGGTACTGCTTCCCTTAGTGACAAATTTATGGTGAAGTACGGGTTATTTTGGAAGCCATTTTAAAGCAGATTTCACATTTTTTTCCAATCAAACTTTACAAAACTATGCACTCGTACCTTTTCTTTTCACATTCATACCACTAAGAAAAAAAAATACTTCCACCATTTTGTTGTTGTTTTTGCAGTTGCTGGACAAAGATTGTGGAGACTGAAAATTTTGAAAATTTCTGAAAACTTCACTTGACTGTAGAATCAAAAGCAGACAAAGCTAGTTAATGAAATTTGGTAAAATTCTTCTAGAGGTGCATTATGTTCGGAATAAAACAAAATATCTGGCATTTTAAATTATGGAGAAAAGTAATAAGTATACATAATGAGCAAATTATGTAAAAAAATAGGGAAATTACTGCTACAAATGTTTCATCATGTATTCTGAAAATTGGCAATAATCTTGTATATTTCAATTATAATTAATAGTTACCACTGATTAACATAAGTAAAGATATTCTTGTTTACCAACCACCAAAAGTAGGGCATTTGTTGCTACTGAATGTGGTTAATTAGACGTTATTATAAATAATATGTCTGACAGTAGCAAGAATAACATGGACAGTAGCAAGAATAACTGGTTAATTAGACGTTATTATAAATAATATGTCTATGTGGTTAATTAGACGTTATTATAAATAATATGTCTGACAGTAGCAAGAATAACATGATTATTCTTGCTACTGACAGACATATTATTTATAGTAACGTCTAATTAACCACGTGTTATTCAGTATAGCTCAGTGATGATTCTTAATGATGCAATGTGAGATGCCAAGTTGCATTATTTTGTCGTGTTTACGAGAAATTACCTACTGTTTGAGTGAAACAGTTTGTGATGTAAACCGTGATTTATTTTCGTATATGTATCATGTAGATTTATTGCTTGTTTTATTTTTGTTTTGCATTTTTCATTACATGTACTTATATTAAAGATCATGATTTATTGAAATGGATAATTAAGTTTTCAAGTAATGCTATACATAATATGAAACGAGATTCGGGAATATAACAAAAAGTTATTTTTGACAAATAATTAAACAATCATATTTTTGAAACATACGTTAAGTGATCCAGCCTAGTTGTATTTCTTCTTTTCCTTTTTATTTTGGCTACAAAACTCCGTTTCATTTGATTTAAATATTGCTGGATTAACATTTTATTTGCTTACTTTTTCCAAATTTAGGGCCTTATATTCTTATATATATATATTAGATGTAGTAATGGAAGCAATAGTCTGAATAGTACGCGCCATTTTTATCCCGTTACAGTTTATATTTGTTCAAATTCTGTGCACATCTATAATAGAAAATTATTTTTTAAATGTTTCTTTCCATAAAGCCTGTATAATCTGTGGTATTCTCGTTGAAATAACATTCGCTGTCTAGATACTTTCAGGATACATAATGTAACATTTGTAGTAATAATTGCCCTACTTTTGGTGGTTGGTAAACAAGGATATCTGTACTTAAGTTAATCAAGTATTAATTATCATTGAAATAGACAAGATCATTGCCAATACTAGTTAAGATTTTCATTTGGGATTATGAATATAATTATGATCAAACTTTTTTTTTCTAACTTTCAGATACCTCTGGTGCCCCACGAGCTTCTTCTCTCCAGGGAGTGCTACCAGTGGCTTTACTGGCAGCTTTTTACTCTATTTTTTAACCAGAAATTTTTGTTTGGCCTAATTAGGCTCAAATCCTCTTTGTATGTCAAAACTTAAGAGGAAAAAAGTGGAACTGAGAGAGGGGGCAAACCGAAAAGAATAAAAAATGGTGAAAAAAGACGTAGCTTGATCAGTTGTGACGTCTTTTTTGGAGAACTTCCCATTTTCATAAGCCAGTGTCAAAATTTTCTTCGCTGTGTGATGTCATCTTCTAGAATGATGGACAATAAGTTTTATTCTTGGTTATCATAGAAACGAATTTCTTTAGTTAAATTCATTGAACGACAGAAATATGGTAAACCAAGAGTATTTCTACTATACTGATATTTGTGCCTATTGTCTATTGACCTTTAACGTGTTTATGAGTATTCTAGAAAAAAAAAACATGTACCTTCTGATGTTGCTTTTAAAGCTTTTCACTGGGAAATAATCGATTTGTTGAGTCAATAAATGAGGTAACAGCCACGCTCAAGATAGATCTGAGTAACAATCTGATTAAATTGAGTGGTACCTCAAAAAACAACAACAACCTTGTTCTTTAAATCGTCAGATTTTACAAATATATTAACCATATACCACGTAATAACGTAAGAATAAGGTCGTCGTCAAAAACAAACAAAACATAAACAATCCCACGTTTCTATTGTAAACATGAAACGGTAAGATGAACATGATGAATCTGAATTGCACAGGTTAAATAAACATCTTTATTTTGTGACCTGAAATGGTTTAATTTGTATTTTTTACATGTATGAGATAGTTTGTGTTTTTTTTTCTTTCATATGTCATGTGTGTTTTCCTATTTACGCTGTGATATTATATTTGGTATCTTTGTTTTCAATTAATATTGTATATTTTTATGAATAACTACGTGTGTGTGTGTGTTTTTCCTATTTACACTGTGATATTATATTTGGTATCTTTGTTTTCAATTAATATTGTATATTTTTATGAATAACTACGTGTGTGTGTGTTTTTCCTATTTACGCTGTGATATTATATTTAGTTTATTTGTTTTCAATTAATGATGAAACGTTTTTTACACGTTTAACGTAGTTAGTAACTGTTTTCTTTTTACATGTTCAACGTAGTTCGTGATTATTATATTTTTACAAGTATGACGAACTGTTTTTTTTTCCTCCATGCATGATGCAAGTTGTGAAATTATCTTACACGTTTTATTTAGTCTTCTGTGTTTTACGTGTTTAACGTAGTTCGTGATTATTATATTTTTACAAGTATGACGAACTGTTTGTTTTTTTCTCCATGCATGATGCAAGTTGTGAAATTATCTTACACGTTTTATTTAGTCTTCTGTGTTTTACGTGTTCAGCGTAGTTCGTGATTATTAAATTTTTATAAGTATGATGTATTGTGGGTATTTTCATTTCCATGCATGGTAATATGTAGTTTATTTTTCATAGATGTTTGATGTAGTTTGTGATTGTAGTTTTTTTTCATGTGTAACGTAATTTGTATGATGCAAACTGTATATGTATCAGGTAGATTTATTGCTTGTTTTATTTTTTGTAAATGATAAATTTTGAATTTTTCATTACATGTACTTATATTGAAGATCATGATTTACTAAAATTGATAATTAAGTTTTCAAATAAAGCTATACATAATATGAAACGAGATTCGGGAATATAACAAAAAATATTTTTGACAAATAATTAAACAACCTTATTTATCAAACATACATTAAGTGATGCAGCCCAGTTAGTAGAAAGCGAAACAACGTCTTGTTATAAAACAATTTCACACATTCATATTTTTTAAAAGTCTTTTTTACCTCAAAACCTTAATATAAACTTACATAATATACCAGATAACACTATGTCTCTAAAAGTATAGTTTTAAGGACGCGCGAGTCAAAAAGTCCTTTCTGAAAGTACTGTTACTTTCTATCTATGAACAAGTTTGTCTCAGATTGATATTTAAAACATTTACTTATTAATAGATGATTTGGTTGTTATCTCACAATTTTTCTGTAAATTCAATAAAAAAAACAGTTTCAATGTTACATGACTCGAATTAAGGAAATCCTCCTGTCATTTAACACTGAAGCTCCCCAATGATTCAGCGATAAGTGTAAAGGCATGTAGGCCTATAAATATGGTTTTGATATCAACTGTGGACAAATCACAGATAGCCCATTGTGTAGCTTTGGGCTTGAAAACAAAAAATCAAGCCTTACTATGATATATGACGCTAGTCTGTTTATATAAGTGTAGAATGTATTATCTAAATATGACGCTAGTCTATTTACATAAGTGTAAATGTATAATCGAAATCTGACGGTAATTTTTTACATAATTGTAGAATGTATTATCTAAATATGACGCTAGACTATTTACATAAGGGAAGAATGTAGTACGTAAATATGACGCTAGTCTGTTTACATAATTTTAGAATGTAGTACGTAAATAAGACGCTTCTCAGCTTATACAATTGTAGGACGTATTATCTAGATATGAGGTTAGTCTGTTTACATAATTGTAGGACGTATTATCTAGATATGAGGTTAGTCTGTTTACATAATTGAAGAATTTATTATCTAGATATGAGGTTAGTCTGTTTAATAATTGTTAGATCTATTATCTAAATATAAAACTAGTCTCTTTACATAATTTTAGAATGTATTGTCTAATTATGACGCTAGTTTGTTTCATAATTGTAGAATGTATTATATAAATATGACGCAAGTTTGTTTCATAATTGTAGAATGTATTATATAAATATGACGCTAGTTTGTTTCATAATTGTAGAATGTATTATATAAATATGACGCTAGTTTGTTTCATAATTG